AATAGGGGCACAATTAGTAACTTATAAATTAGAACATAATTTTGCTTTTTAATGTCAAATTAATGATCACAGTTTCAAACATTAATTTAATTTCTTTTTTCTTCAACTCCAGTAAAATTTAAAAGGAGCCATTAGGGCTGAAAAGATTAATCGATAATACTGATTCTGTGTGAGGATGGTACGCATATCAATATGTATGTAAAAATATTTAATTATCGCAAAAAATTTCTGGCGTTTTTCTTTGATTACTTACATTTTGGGTTTAATACATGTATATCCGATAAACATGTTAAATAGAAATATTTATTTAAAATACATACTGGTAATAATTTACACCACTTGTGTGAAATAAGCTTGTTTTACAATGTATATACAGCTTATTCTTTGAATAAAGTATTCATAATTGTGAAAAAAATGTTTGTTCTTTTCAATACCAAAATAAGACTTCATGACCCCCAATTCAAAATATTTTATAAATATCGTATCGTAGCTCAAATAGCATGATTGATACATATCAATGTACGTATCAATATAAAAAAAATCGTATCATCCCAGCCTTAAAACCCTTCCCATCCCAAAATAGTTTTATTCGACTTGGGACAACTTTCTTTTTTCCTTATTTTTAGGTCACCTGAGTCACTCAGGTGACCTACTGCTATCTGTTTTCGTCCGTCGTCGTGCGTTAACTTTTGAACATTTTTAGCTTCTCTGAAACAACTGAACCAATTTCAACCAAATTTGGCGTATAGCATTTATGGATGAAGGGGAACAAAAATTGTGAATTTCATGGTCCCTGCCCCCCTGGGTTCTGAGGGGTGGGGCTAAAACCACCAAAATTAATGCAATCTTTAAAAATCTTCTTCTTTACTCCTGGACATCAAGCAGTCAAACTGTTGGCATGATTGTACTAAGCATTGAATCCTCTACCGAAATTGTGAAATTCATGGCCCCAGGGTCAGGGGTTCTGGTGCTAGGGTGGGGCTATATAGATCATACAGGGAAAGTGCATTATTTCTTTGAAAATCTTCATCTCTGCTCCTGGGTATTAAATAAAGGAACTAAGTACATAGTTATGATGAGCAAGAGTGCCTCTTCCAAAATTGTGAATTTCATGGCCCCAGGGTCAGGGATTCTGGTGTTAGGGCGGAGCTCTATTGATTCTATAGTGAAAATGCATTAATTCTTTGAAAATCTTCTTCTTTGCTCCTGGGTATTAAATAAAGTAACTAAGTACATAGTTATGATGAAAAAGAGTGCCTCTTTCAAAATTGTGAATTTCATGGCCCCAGGGTCAGGGGTTCTGGTGCTAGGGTGTGGCTATATAGATCATATAGTGAAAGTGCATTATTTCTTTGAAAATCTTCTTCTCTGCTCCTGGGTATTAAATAAAGTAACTAAATACATAGTTATGATGAGCAAGAGTGCCTCTTCCAAAATTGTGAATTTCATGGGCCCAAGGTCAGGGGTTCTGGTGTTAGGGCGGGGCTCTATTGATTATATGGTGAAAATGCATTAATTCTTTGAAGCTTTTCTTCTCTGCTCCTGGGTATTAAATAAAGCAACTAAAAACATAGTTATGATGAGCATGGTTGTCTCTTCCAAAATTATGAATTTCATGGCCTCTGGGTCAGGGGTTCTGGTGTTAGGGCGGGGCTCTATTAATTATATAGTGAAAATACATTAATTCATTGAAAATATGTTATGCTCCTTTGTATTAAATTAACTAACTAAGAACATAGTTATGGTGAGCATGGCTGCCTTTTTAGAAATTGTGAATTTCATGGCACCTGGGTCAGGGGTTCTGGTGTTAGGACAGGGCTCTATTGATTATATGGTAAAATTGCATTAATTCTTTGAAAATCTTCTTCTCTGCTCCTGGGTATTAAATAAACTGAGTGCATAGTTACCAAGAGCATGGTTGCCTCTTCCAAAATTGTGAATTTCATGGCCCTTTGGTCAGGGATTCTGGTGTTGGGGCGGGGCTCTATTGATATATATAGTGAAAATGCATTAATTCATTGAAAATCTTCTTCTCTGCTCCTGTGTATTAAGTAAACTAAGTACAAAGCTATGATGAGGATGGCTGCCTCCTCAGAAATTATGAATTTCCTGGCCCCTGAGTCATGGGTTCTGGTGTTAGGGCGGGGCTGTATTGATTATATAGGGAAAACGCATAAAATCTTTCAAAATCTTCTTCTCTGCATCTGGGTATTTTTCAAACAAAGGAAGTGCATGGATATGATACGGAAGAATGCCTCTGCCAAAATCGTGAAATCATGACCCCCGGGTCAGGGGTTCTGGTGAAGGGGAGGGGGGGTATTAATTATATAGTGAAAATGCATAATTTCTTTCAAAATATTTTTTGGTACTACTGGTTATAAAGCAAAGAATCAAGTGTATAGTTATGATGTGCAAGGGTGCTTCTTCCAGAATTGTGAGTTCATGGCCGATGGGTCAGATGTTCCGGTGTAAGGATGAGGCTTTATTTATTTAAAAATAAAGTGAAAATGCATTTCTTTGAAAATCTTCTATGCTTTTGGGCATATTCGAGGCAAACAGAGTTAAAGTTTTAATATGCAACATGTGCAAGGGTATTTTTACCAGAATTTTGAACACCTGGACCATTTAGTCAAGTGTTCTGGTCCTTGCCAGGGCTCTATTAACTTGTATTCTGCTGAGCAAAGTTATTCCCCTTTGCCATTAACCTTTGATAATTAATCACTGTAAATAAAATACTTGAAAGGTTAATAGAATAAGAGAATTATGCAAGAATATTTATTGTATAATACAAAAAGTACTTTCATAGTTTTGATGATCAGGTAGACTTGGAAATAATAAATGAATAAAAATGAGACAAAAATAACTTATCTTTTTAATTGTTCTTCAAAGGCCAAGAGAGGCCAATGTGAGAAGTAATAATATGGGGTTAAAAATAGACATTTTGGTAATAATGATAAATTGGGGGACAGAAAGATACTAGACCAATTATTTTGTTGATGCTAATCATACTATTTTTCTTGCTTTTGGGCTTCATTTATCAGTTAATGTATTCTCTAAATTGTTGTATTGTACTCAAGTGACCGTTAAGGCCCTTGGGCCTCTTGTTTCTTGTAGATTTTATTCAGGTACTTTGTAAGTTACTTTTCTGCCTTTGAAAAATGTTGTTATAAAATATCTGTTTAAAACCTTACATACAAGCTACTCTTAAACCAGACACGGGACAGTTACATGATAGGGTACAACCTAACTTCTCCCCTCAAAACTAAGACCACAAGGGTAAATTCCGTAACCATACTTTTGGTTAAAAGTTGACTTCTAGATTTGGTAGACTGCCCTAGACTGTCTGATATGCACGATATACACGAACGTACGAAAGAGACAGGCAATACCAGTCTATATATTTGTTCACGAGTTGACATACAAGGTTTGAGTGGACTTGGTTATCAGTCGGCCAGGTTATGTATTGACTCGATACCATGTGAATTAACTACAGAAGACTGCATCTGAATCTCTATAAAATCATACATTTAATTCTTTCTCAATTGTAAAAATTGACCTTTAAAATCAAATGGGTTGAAATGCCTGAATCGCTGAGAATTTTAAGTGTTTATTTATTTGTAAAAATGTTTCACATCATCCTTATATAATCTGATAATTAAAAAAAATTGTTTACATACCATCTGAGTCATGGTGGTGTACTGATGATCTGATGGTTCCTTGGAAAACGGCTTTTACAACTTAAGGACACACGAGACCTTCCTCAATTACAGATAAATTTCCACAAAACTTCATGCTTTATCTATTTGCATATAAACCTGTTTATGCCCAAAAATTTGGGGCATATCACCAGGCTATTTATAGAGTTAGAATAAATTGGATTATCCTTATTATAGCATGCAAAAAAGCTATTGAATGCTATAAATAAAGTCATAGTATATATTTTCCATTGAAACTATATATCCAGATGGGAAAGTATGATATAAAATGAAATTCATTTTTGAAAACCATGTTTCCAGGCTATTGAAGAAATTTTCTATAGAGAATGCTATTTTTCTCATTGTAACTGATCGAGTTATCTCTCTTTGATAAGAAATAAATGAGATACAAATGCAGTGGAATAGATTCTGTATTTACATCATGGATAATTTTTCAAATCAGAAACATGTAGTCATTATATTCATATAACAGCATCTTTCTAAACTTCTATAAAATATCAACAGAACATCACCAACTGTGCAAGTGTATTGCTCACAATATTGAGCAAGTGGTCATTTACAATTCATAAAATACTGATGTAATGACTTGATAATTTTACAATTTGATGTTTCTCTGACCTTACCCATGTCTTTTTCTGACAAGATAAACTTTATGCCATACACAGGATCTCTCTGGTGAGCAATACAAAGATGGTCATAATGAAGACCAGAAGCTGCAATTTTGTTGGTTGTAAATTTGGATAAAATATTTCCATCTACAAGATGTTTCAATGAAGAAGCATTTCTACTCATTACAATTGCATAATTGTCATTTTCAATTACAAACTCAACACTAAAGCTGCGTTTCTTCATCATCCCTCTGGATATCTCAAGATGAAGCACAAGTCGTTGTAGAGCTTGGGAATCTGCTAAGGCATCATGGGCATCATAATGTGCTGTACATAAATCTTTCAAAAGTTCCACTTGTTTGTAAGATTTCTGTTGGGAACTGCTTCTCTGAATAGGGGTAATGTGTCTATGAATCCAATAATAAAGTTATTGGCAGTTAGTCCTACCTGATGCATTGCACGGACAATAACACTGGAGTCAAATTTTGCATTGTGAGCAACTAGCACTATGTTTGAAAATTTTTTCAACCATGCAACAAATGTTTTCATAGCATCCCTGGTATTCTTACATGGCACCTGCATTCCATTCTTGAACATCAAATTCTCCTTCACAGCAATACCCGACACAGCAGTGGCAGAGGGTGAAATGGACTGAGTAGATGGAAGAAATGATTCTTCAGAAACACACGCACCAATCTGGGTGACTTCACAATCTTTACCTAAATCATAAGGAAAAGGAATTACACATCAATATGTCACAAACAAAAAACATACACTTTAACATTAAAAATTCATTACTCAGGAAAAAAATGAAACAGTTGCATAATTATTCTAAAAATAATGCTTCAGTTCCATGCATTACTTCTGTGTCAATATATGAACACTAACCAAGACCTGAAGTTTCCAAATCAAAATAAACAAATGTGCACTGGTCATGAGCAATAGGAGTAGACTGGGGTTTTCTCAGGGGTAGTGGTATCTCTGTAATGTTTTCCATGTCTTCTTCATTGTTGTTTAGATCAACGCATGTTTTGTATGTAGTTCCCTCACTAATCTCTGATGACTCTTGTGGCTTATGGGAATCTATTTTCTTCATTGCCCTGTTTTTCTTGTAAGCTGCTGTATCTTCTCTTTCCTTGTCTCGTTTCCTTTTCAAGTCCGTTTTCTTTGCACTGGAACTAGTGACTTGTCCAGGAGAAAGAAGCAACCTCTCATTTACCTGAAAAGAAAGAGGATATGATATCTTCATTATATTGAAATACATGTGTAGATAGAGTATTGTTATAATTGTGTGTAGTAATGAAATATACAAACTACTATACTATATACCTGTATTACATATTGATGTTCTTAATTTTTCTGTGCCACAGCAGCAGCTATACGAAAGTCATTACTCTCGGAGCCAGAGTAGAAAGTGGACTTTGGTGTTTTACTTGCAACTGCATTGTTGAAACTTTCATTTGCCTGAGTACTTCCTAAGTTGACCAATTTTTCAGCCTGTGATATGTAGAATCCAAAGAGAGATGAGAGATCAGATTTCAAGTGCTGGTTAGAAAGGTACCGATGATAAGGAAGTTGCTGTGGCTTGTAGGTTTGAGGAGAAGAGAGAAATCCACACCAGGTATCACATAGGCTGTGGTCTCCATAGACATGTGGTGTTATTGCCTCCAGATTTTTCTTTAGACTGATCAAATCTTCTTGATTTTGACTGATGCAGTATTTGAAACACTTAATGATATGATTTATGGTTTTGGTATTTAGTTCTTTGTAGTTCTTGCTCTTCTTCAGGTCAGATAATTTATTTGTAAATTGTTTCATTGTATGGTTTTTGTTACTCTGCTTCTTTAGGGCTGGGTTAACCTCCAGACGTGCTCTTGCAACAGTTGTCGAATCATTGTCCATGATAACAGTATTGACATTCACATCATTTTGGCCAAGTTATTGCAACATCTGTATGTACATATCTGGCTCCATGGCTTTTGCACTTTTGGACCAGTTCTTTCGACAGTCATGGATAGGTAGAACTTTCCCAGATTTTTCAGAGTTATCACATACTCTACAATAGCTGTTGCGAGTTGCAAAATTGATGATTTTTCCTGTTTCATTTCCAATCATTGCTGCATGTCCTGCAAAATTTTTATAACATGTTCATAATGTATAAATTACAGTAATATCACAACTAAACTACTGTATAATTTCATTTGAAGATAAAATCAACTGTCTTACATTTTATGTATTACAAGTATGCCATACATTAATCAGTCTATTGATGTTGGACTATCAAACAGTGGAAGGTATGTTCAATTTTTAAAAAAAATTTCCCTGATTATTTCACCCACATCCACTAAATAGATAAAAATCTACTACATGCCACAAATGCTACAAATTGTAATATATAGGATATGTGTATAATACCTACTGTAATGTTTAGAAAATAAATACCTGACAAACTTGAATAGGATCGACCTGATCCTCTTTTCTGCCACCCACAATCAAATGATACAGACAGCTCATTAGGTGTACCGTAAAACAACACAGTGCATATAAATTATATATGTAACCTTGTTTTTGCTTTTTATATTATAAGTATTGCAAATATTATAAACTGTTTGATAAAAATACCTGTCACAGAACACAGGTTATAAAAATGTACAATATATTTCTGTGACACAAGTAATGATAATTCATAGCTTTCAACATTATTTTTGGTACCTTGATGATTCCTTCTCGACCGCAGCCATATCGTCACAACTCTTTTTGGCCACTTCTTCTAATGCCTTTCCTACTTCCCTCTCTGTTTTTTTTCAAGGTTTTATGGCACATAGATGGAATATTAAGTACACTTAACAGCATTGATACTTTCTTCTGGCCAATACCTGCATGAAGCATACCTACAAAACACAATTTTGTAGACTGTTACTTTTACAACATAATTACATTTAAATTATTGTAATTTATTATATCTTTAGTGGTTCAACTAGTAGACTATTCAAATATCATATAAAAATATGTCCTCAGAATAGAACTGCACTTCATTGTTGTTTCTAGTACATGTACATATAAATTTTAATTATCTATACAATGCCTACCAAGAGACAGTTTTGTGTTGACATCAAATGCTCTAAATGGATGGTCACTGTCTATGCGAGAGTGTCTCTTTCCAGTTGGAACTGATACCACCATATCGCAATTCACACATTTTATTTGTAACATTGATGCCAGTCCATATCTGATCTCGCCACATATATTCGTGAAGTTCAGAATTCACAGCCTTCAATCAGCTCCTCAATAACATACTGAATTTCAATAATCCTTCTTCCTTCGTTCCCTTTATCGTTACATCATCATCAGTGTCTTCAAAAGCTATCTCCATTTCCTCTTCTTCGATGTTTGATGGTACTGACATATAATAATCATGCTCAAAAGGTACATATTCTGGCAAATCGATGGAGCGAGAAGTCTCAGACAGAGAAAGAACTTCATCATCGTGACCTTTAATAAATTAAATGCACAGTTATACAATAATATGCAGGATACGTTTTATACGTCTGTATGAACAATATATGAAAGAGAATCGAAAACAAGAAACCATAATAAAATTTTCACTCACTTGGCTGCAGAAGTATTTGTTCTTGGTTTTTTTCGTTGTTTGTTTATTTCTAACGCCCGTCTTTTCCTCAACTTTCCTTCAGATATTAACTTTCCACCTTTACCGCGAAATTGCTCCTCCATGTTGTAAACAAACTAATAAAATTACCTCCAATTACAAACAAGAGGCCCAAGGGCCTTAACGGTCACCTGAGTATAATACAACAATTTAGAGGATCCATAGAGTATAAAATGAACTGAAAGGTGAAGCTTTGTTGCCCAAAAGCAAGAAAAATAGGGTGATCAGGATTAACAAAATAATTAGTCTAGTATTCATTAACAGTTCATACATTAGGTTCTAATCTGTTCCCCATTTATCACTCTCACCAGACAGTATATTAAGAAACTATCAGTGCTTCTGTACTCTTTTAATTCCTTGTGGAAATCTCTTACATTGGCCTGAGTAAGACTCTTGGTCTTTGATGAACATTTAAGGTACTGGTATTCCATCCCTAATAGCCTCAGATTCAATGAATTTGAATACATAACAAATGTGTACGGGTGGATTACTCAGTATATTTAGACATAATCTACATTTATTACTATTAGCATGTAAGAATGGAAGTGTCCTAATTTATGACTTGACCTTTGTTGAAGAGTTATCTCCCTCTTTTTTTAAGTAATAAAAATCAATTTTAAAAAAATATACGGTAAAAAAATTGTTTTCAATTGTCATTCTATTTCTAATGATTTAATGGATCTTTCCACCACAGTAGTTATTGATATTCTTATTATCTGAATTTTTATTTTAAAAAAATCGCTTGTCTCCATAGACTTCAATGCAATTTCTATTAATTAAATACTGCTTAGTTAATTACGTTTTTGAAACTTTCACTTGGTAAATCCTTTTCAACTGTAAAGTTCTTTGAATTAATATCAGAGTATTATATACGTGATTGATATTTAAGGATAGAGAATTAGTTCCTATTAGGGATGGAAAACCTTAATAAGACAAGTCTACCTGATCATTAAAACTATGAAAGTACTTTTTGTATTATACAATAAAAATTCTTGCATAATTCTCTTATTCTATTAACCTTTCAAGTACATTATTTACAGTGATTAATTATCACAAGTAAATGGCAAAGGGGAATAACTCCTCTCAGTAGAATACAAATTAATAGAGCCCTGGCCTAGACTAGAACACTTGACCAAATGGTCTTGATGTTCAAAAATCTGGTAAAAATACCCTTCCTTATTAAAACTTTTACCCTTTTTGCCTCTGATATGCCCAGGTGCAGAGAAGATTTTTAAAGCATTAATGCATTTTCACTATATAATAAATAGAGTCCCACCCTAACATCAGAACCTCTGATCCAGGGGTCATGAAATTCACAAATTTGGAAAAGGCATCCTTGCTTATCATAACCATGTATTTGTTTAAATAATACCAAGGAGAAGAGAAGAAGCTTTTCAAAGAAATAATGCACTTTCACTATATGATCTATATAGCCCCACCCTAGCACCAGAACCCCTGACCAAGGGGCCATGAATTTCACAATTTTGGTAGAGTCACTCTTGCTTATCATAACTATGTATTCAATTTGTTTCAATAATACCCAGGAGTAGAGAAGAAGATTTTCAAAGAAATAATGCACTTTCACTATATGTTCTATATAGCCCCGCCCTAACACCAGAACCCCTGACCCTGGGGCCATGAATTTCACAATTTTGGTAGAGTCACCCTTGCTCATCATAACTATGTATTCAATTTGTTTCAATAATACCCAGGAGTAGAGAAGAAGATTTTCAAAGAAATAATGCACTTTCACTATATGATCTATATAGTCGCGCCCTAACACCAGAATCCCTGACCCTGGGGCTATGAATTTCACAATTTTGGTAGAGTCACCCTTGCTCATCATAACTATGTATTCAATTTGTTTCAATAATACCCAGGAGTAGAGAAGAAGATTTTCAAAGAAATAATGCACTTTCACTATATGATCTATATAGCCCCGCCCTAGCACCAGAACCCCTGACCCTAGGGCCATGAATTTCATAATTTTGGTAGAGGGCTCAATGCTTATTACAATCATGCCAACAGTTTGACTGCTTGCTGTCCAGGAGTAAAGAAGAAGATTTTTAAAGATTGCATTAATTTTGATGGTTTTGGCCCCACCCCTCAGGGGCCAGGGGGGCAGGGGCCACGAATTTCACAATTTTTGTTCCCCTTCACCCATAGATGCTATATGCTAAAATTGGTTGAAATTGGTTCACTGGTTCCAGAGAAGAAGCTGAAAATGTTCAAAAGTTTACGACCGACGAACAACGCACGACGACGGACGAAAAGAGATAGCAATAGGTCACCCGAGTGACTCAGGTGACCTAAAAAGCACATAACTTAGCATAGGAACATAACAATTTCTTAACATTCAAACTAATTTCGGAAATTATTCCGGAATTACGTACTGGAAATCATCACATTGCGGAGATAGAAATTTTTTTGGAAATAATGGAAGATACGTCGCGTCTGACCTTAAAGCATAATATTTTTGCTGAAATATTCTCACGAAACATGATAAATTTTCATCTGGGTTTGTCATAAACTTCATCATGTTCATTGTCCATCACGTTTCCTTGCTCACACGTTTAACACATTGGGGCTCTTCTTCCGAAATCGCTTCAGAAATGGGATAAATCATCGCATCGTTGGGTGCAATCAATACTTCATAAGAATTATCTGGATTGCAGTGGGCAACTAGCCTTTGTCAAACAACTCTGTTACGATAACTTCGCAAGATTTACTTCCAACTTTCGCTGTGTCGCCATTTTTGTTTTCAATTTACGACTGGAATCTGACAAAGCGAAATTCGTTAAAAATCGCTAAATGTTTTTCGGTAAAAAATGTAAACAGATAAAAGAAAGTTATTTAATACAAAATACAAATAAAAATTACAAAAAAAAAAAAATTTATGGCTTAAAATAGCAATGCTGAAATTAAATCATCCACTTCCGCCAGCATTAGAAGGATAATCCTACATCCGGTAGCATTACTAGCATTGACCTAGTTTTGAACCAGCAAAGGTAGCATCAGGATAAGGATTAGATCAGGATCAGGATAACTAGCATTAAATCAGCAAGCAAAGGAAGCAATCAAATCAGCAAGCAAAGGCAGCATCCAAATCAGCATTGATGCTGTAACCAAATTTGTTCCCTGCACTGTATTTTTGTTCTTCCCAATTGAGGATATATAATTTTAAATATTTTATAGGACGGGTTATTTATTATTTTATTTATTGCCCCCCCCCCCTCCTTCAAAACCAAATAGTCTTCCTCACAGATTTTGTAATCCCTTAAAAATACTAACTAAGATGAAACATACTCAGAAATTTAATTGTTAAATCTATGTGAATGAAATCGTATTAACAACAGAGATGCTTTATCAAATCGTGCAAAGGGTCTTTGAAATCGTACAAACAATTTATTTCTTTACTTTAGGCTATCATTTAACATTGCATGATAAATCATTTCCTGTTC